ATTTATAATATTCAGGAATTGTTATTGACTTGTTTTCTGATGGAGATATTTTGCCTCAGTTGCAACAGGTATGTACCTTGTGCATGTAGTTATGGCTTTTGTGTTAAATTTCTGTGTCCGAGTTGCAACTGTACTAATGATGTTCCTTGAATAGATGTTCTAATTTTTTTTTTTAATTTCCGAGGCTGGTTTATAATTTTCTCGCCGGTGATTCATTTATTCTCCATACATTAGCATATGCTGGAATAGCCTAATTTTCGTCCTACTGATCTTTTGTCCAAAAATTTGGTTCAATCATTTTTCTTTTTCCTTTACTGGTTTATGGATTTATATTTATATATTTATTACTTGTACGCTTTTCCAACTATTAGGATCGACCCCCGGTTCTTAAAATGTATTCACGTAGGAAGTGGAAGGGTGGGCTTTGGTGTAGCATGTGCGTGATGTGTTGTGAGGCCCATCTATGTGTTTGTTAGGAAGATGACATAAGTAGTAGGGTAGTCAGTTGAGTATTAGAAGGTTGTGGTTGTGGATGAAGGTTTCGGAGTATTACAAGCAGTTTAATGATTGAAGTGAATCTTTTCATTTTATTTTTATAATAGGTTGGCAAGTGGTTGGAATTGAAAGACAGACTGATGGTTGGTGGTCGGCTCATGATTAACTGTGGAGGGAATGTAGTCAAAGTCACTGACAATGGTATCTGTAGTGAAGTATCCTCAACCGATTCCTTCCTGCCACGCAATTCGGTGATTCAGGCTCTTTCCGAAGCATTTCCTAAACAGGTAAGAAATAGTACTAAATTTTACTTCTATTTTTTAGTTAGATTCGTTTTATTTATTGGAGCTGAACTATAACTAGTTCCAATAGAAAAGTGAATGATAATTTTGTCTCCTCTCAAAAACTACACGATTTCTGTCTTGAAACCTTAACCATACAAAAATAACCCTAGTCGTCGGTGTCCATGCCCACTACTCTCTGTTGGCAATCTCTCCTAGGTCTATTTGTGGCTTTCTTCATTTATGTCAATCATTTATTATTTATGCTTTAGAAACACTAATCATGGTTCATAGTTGTTTTATCCGCCGTTGTGGCCAATATCATTGGTCGTCAGTCTCTTGGATCTTCCAAATCATTCTAGGATGAGGTATGGATCTTTTTTTTTTAATCATTTGATAGAAAGATTCATTCTATTCACGAAAAGTAGGAGTACAACCAATATATATTGGATTCATCCTCAGAGTTAGTCACAAACTCATGGTTTCATGATTGTCCACCACTCGTATCTAGTGTCACAACCATGCTATAAAGAGAGTAAGTTGTGACCCTCATGTAACAACAAGCAAAGAACCGACCCTAAAGAGACGCCCATCCGGCCATGCAAGGGCCAAGATAGATGAGTGTCATGTGCAACCGAGGAGGACGGTGCATCATCTAACTCACCAAAGAGATGTGCATTGAAGCCAAGCTGAGGCATAAGCAAGGAAGCAACGATGTCGATTTGAGGGACAAAGATAGGCTTGATAAGGGTCAGTTAGGGCCCCGGACCTTAACCTCGAAAGTGGGGGTTCTGAAAGGAGTTTGGGCATGTGGCTCTAGAGTTAAGTCCGTCCATATGAAAGATGAAAGCTTGCCAAATTTTGTGTCAATCGGATACTGGACGAATGCTCCACGACACCGTATGACTATTTGCCAAAATCACGTCTACACCTACCAAATTGGAAATGCCTCAAAATGTACCTCAATAGGAGGCATGGTATAATCTTTCCACCACCCTGGGTCTTGTGGCCTAAACGAGCTATCCTGTGGTATATGCGTGTGTCACAGTGATGGAGAACATTGCAAGATGAGTGTCTCGAGCGACTTTCTTTGAAATGGATCTTTAAGAATAGTGTTAAACGGCACAGGTGTACCGACATTGCGCCCCAGCCAATGTGTCAGAGGTTGGTATATGCATCCGCTATTGGGTATGGAGTCCTTAAATGGTATGGCATGGACATGGGAGGGTCCAATGCCTCAATAGAACCCAGATGGATGGATGTTAGGGATGCCCTGATGTTTCGAATGACACATGGGTCCGTTCTCGATGAGCATGACGGTGCAAGCTAAGTTGGCCGATGACATCCTGGGACTTGGGATGACATCAAGACATGATGACCGTGTTAATTGGGAACCAAAAGGACAAGATAAGATGCGAAGTTGCATATAAGAGACCTTGGCCCTTAGTAGAGGCAAGGTCGAACCGGATGACTTAGCCTAACGTAGAGGCAAGTCGGTTGGGTTGTAGAAGATTGAACATGCACGTACAAATGGCATGTGTGGTTGAACACGCTTAGATTCTGCATGAGTTGTGTTTGTTGGCGAAGACAAACCTCACCTAAGGTTTGACGAAGCCACAAAGTCAAGCGAAAAATGAATATGGGGCTTGGACTTTCCTCAAAACTTGTTGTGAGCGTGTCAAGATCACAATGTCGCACAGTTAAAAATGTACGACCGTGACACTTAGCCACACGCATCTGATTTTTTCCGGGGTCAAGTAGATCATACCATTTTCCATAGACACTAGAAATGATAAGATGATTGTTTTAATAATGTATGTTGGTGACATCATCCTAGTAGTTTATGATGAGGCTAGACTAAATAGTTTGGAGAAAAAACTAGCAAACGAATTACAAATCAAAGACTTGGAGTTTTGAAGAGTTTCTTAGGGATGGAATTGCTACATCAAAAAAGATATTCTTGTCGATAAAAAATAAATAAGTAAATTATTGATTTGCTTAAAGAGACCAGCTTACTTGGTTATAGAACAACAAGAACTTCTATTGAATCAAATTTAAAGCCGCAAGATGCAACGAAGAAGGGTGAAAGACGAGGAAAATATGGAACTACTTTTTATTTATCTTGCACTCATCTACACATTGCTTTTGCAATTATTATGGCAATCAATTACATGCGTACTCTAGGACGAACTCACTTTGAAGCAATTTACAAAGACATTGTTTTTAAGAAGCATGACCCATTTAATGAAATTTACATTGATACTGATTGGTAGGTAGCTCCACAGATAGAATATCTACTTCTGCTTATTGCTCATTTGTTGAAGGATCTACTTACCCAACGTAGCAAAAATAAAGTATGGTAGCTAGAATCAATGATGAAGTGGAATTCAAGGCTTTATTCATGATAATTGTGAGGGTATATGGATAAGAAAATTGAATCCATATGGAATTTTCATAGTGATGATGCCAAAATATGATTCAGTTAGTATGGTTTCATAATCATTTGGTACTTTGCAGTTAGAAATGTGGATACATATACGATTGCCCTGTGGTAGTTAACAATTTCACCTTATACTTGTTAATTGCAGTTGTGTTGGAAAAAACTGCCCAAAGAGAAGGGTGAGAATTATGTTGCTCTGACTGGACCATTTCCAGAATTGGAGTCCTGGTCCGCTGTTGTTCCGGAGCCTTTAAGAGCGAGTGTGAAGGAGTGGAGGCCCTATGAGCGCCTCTGATGATCTACAACCCGCTCTTTGATTTGATGGACGAATTTGGAGTGGAGGCCCTACTAGCTAATGTTCTTAATTGTTGAGTTACTGTTTCTTATATTATGTTTGTAGAAGTGATAAGAGCAAAATCATGGGGGAAGTCCAAATCCTGACCCCTCCACTGGTCAATGCTTTGCATTGCATGTGCTTAGAATGCACAATTCAAGGCCTCCGTTGCCTCAATCCATTGGGTTCAGACTCGAAGGGATTCCCACGCAATCACTTTCTGCTCCGGGTCAAAACGCCACGTACACCATTAATACTTAATCACCCTTCCTTACAAAGAAAAAACACCTTTCTAGTTTGTCCTTTAGTGGCCGAAACCAAAAAGGATATATAAATATTCACTTTTATCAGGGTAACGTGGCAGAGACGGTGGTTGATGGTTCTAATTTTGTTTAAATTGTGCATGAAATGTGCTGGTTCAGTGGACCTACCTTCTACTATGACAGTGTGTGGAACTACTACCTTCAATTATTATGTGTTATGAATTTATGATAGAAATAATTTATATAACTGATCAATTATCTCAAGCACAGGAGATTTAACAATTTTTACATGAAAAACCCTCCTCAAGGCCAGCCCAAACTAATATCTCTACAAGTTCTTTAATCGAGTTACAACCTAGAGCTATAGAGTTAGGTGCAAACAAAGTATCACAATTGTTAGAAAAGAGAGATCCATAATATAAAAATAATTTTCTTTATATGGCTTTTTAGATGGTTTGAAAAGCAAAGCCACAAGGGTTCTATGCACAAGTGTACAATATCATACCATGGTAGAAATATGTGGAGGTCTGCTATCCTTTTCAATTGATATTATAGTCATGGTCTAAATCTAGCCAAAAAAAATTTCTCAAATTACAAACGAAAGGAATTGATGTGAAGCTTCATTATTGACATTGTGGATGAATCCCTGTATCAACCAAAAAGTACTCAAGCCCGGATGACTATATCAACATTGCATTGGTAGATGAGTAGAACTTTGATCAAATGTAATATTTTGTTGAAAGAGATGATGGTTGGATCCACATAATCTCAAAACTGAAGATAAAGTTTTATTTAAAATTTTACATTTTAGAGATCATAATAACGGCCTCTTATTTTCTACCAATAGCTTTAAGATTTGAAAATTGTTATCCAAAAGGGTCTGAAGTATGGTATGTAAAAATTTTGTACTAAAAATTAACATATTTATTTAATTAAAAGATAGAGAAGCATAGAGGTAGGGAGGTGAAGAATTGTGGAAGAAAATGCCAATAAAAGTATTAAATTGAGAGTTGTGCAGATTTTCTTGATGTTTTTTGGGCGCAAGGTTCCCCGTTCAACAGACATCTTACGAAAAGCCTGCTCATACTCTAATCATATTCTTCTAATACCATTCAATCCACCAAATAAAAGAAAATAAAATAATTCCATGCAAATTTTATAATAATTATTTATCCTTTATTTCTGTGCCCATCTTTGATCGGTTGTCAGTCAATCTTAACCTTTGCGCTAACGTTTCTTTCTCTCTCTCTCTCCCTTTTTATATTCACGTCGTGCCGTTGAAGGCAACTTCTCAATACCAATCTGCAAAGGATAATTACTTTCTCTTCTTCCTCTCCCAGGTTTGCCCTTTCAAGCTTGCATTTAACCATTTGCTTCCATTAATGCAAGCTTGTTATAACTGCTTGTTCATCATTTTTTGAATACACAGACAAAACCCCATCAAGGGACGATGATGCCCGAAAATGGCCAACACTTCAGTGTTCCTCCAGGCTTTAGGTTCCATCCAACAGACGAGGAGCTTCTTTATTACTACCTCAGGAAGAAGGTTTCCTACGAAGCCATTGAGCTTGATGTTATCAGAGAAGTGGATCTAAACAAACTGGAGCCTTGGGACCTCAAAGGTTGGCCATTCATTATTCTTCATACTTACCAATTTATTAAGCTTTGATTTGACGAGCAATGATTTTTTTTTTTTTTGGGTGGGTTCAGATACATGTAGAATTGGATCTGGGCACCAGAACGAGTGGTATTTCTTTAGCCATAAGGACAAGAAATACCCAACGGGAACTCGAACTAATAGAGCCACCAGTGCTGGATTCTGGAAGGCAACCGGGAGAGACAAAGGCATTCACATGGCCAATTCCAAGAGGATTGGCATGAGGAAGACACTCGTGTTCTATACCGGTCGTGCTCCTCATGGCCAAAAGACTGATTGGATCATGCATGAATACCGCCTCGAAGATCAGGATCCCGAAATTCAGGTACAGACAAATAATAATAATCGTCCTATTTCCTTCCTTATATTCAGTTATGTGGGTATTTAAATGTATTTTATGATTCAAATCGATATGTCAAAACACAAATAACTGAACCTGAAGAAAGGGAGAGTTTTTTAACGGGGGGGTCCTTTTTATTAATTTTCTTTTTGTTTGTTGTAGAAATAACATACCTTGAGAGTGGAAATTGTAGATCTCGCAGCTACTAACAAATCTTCCAATCTCCTAAACTTTCAAAATCAATAACTACTAAATATTTTTAATCAAATTTTTACAAATTAAACTTATTAACTCACATTTTATTTGATAGACGCAGGAAGATGGGTGGGTGGTGTGCAGGGTTTTCAAGAAGAAAAGTCAGAAGGCAGAGGGCTTGGAGTACCATGCGCATACGAAGGTGGGGGGCAGTAGTTCTGGTTCCGCCGCCTTGATGGGTGCAGAAATAGGAGAGCCGAAAAGCCATAACCATACGCAGCAGCCATATAATGAGTATGGGTTCGATGGGTGCATGCAGCTGCCGCAGCTGTTTAGTCCGGACTCAGCAGTGGCAACACCCATCTCCATAGAGTGTCCTCAAAATACGTGGAGGCTAAATTGCGGGGGTGTGCAACAGGAGCGGTTGAACACAGATTGGTCATTCTTGAGTAGGCTGCTTGCTTCGGATCACCAATCCCGTACCAAATCTGCGCTCCCAGATCAGCTTAGTGTGGGACACCCCAACTCCACAATGTTTTCATTTCCATTTCCATTTCCATTTCCCTACCCTTATCATCTTCCCTCCGCCGCCGACTTATTCAAATTCTCCAAGTAGGCCTACAGCTTTTCACTTTCTTAGTTTAACATTATGTGCAGTTATTTAATACCCTACATCACTTCACCTATGCTATTTTTCCTCCAACTTCCTCCATTTTACTGTTCGTAACTCCGCACTTAATAATGGATTGCTTTTTAAACCTCAATTTCACTCTTTTATTGTTGATGAGTATGGTTGATGGCTAATTTAGAGAATAATCTGAGTTTGTAATCTAAGAAATAATCTTCATTGGTACGAGGCATTTTGGGAGCCCAAAGCAAAGCTATAAGAACATATAATATCATATCAGTGTGGAGAGTCGTTATTTCTAGTATATTATACTTCTAATTTACCTTTCTTAAAATATTTTTGATGTTGCTGAAAAGAAAAATATATGAAAATATAATCGAAAGTTTATAATCGAAAGTATATGAAAAAGATACTTCCATAAAATCATGTTCGAGTATGCTCTTACAAAATTCGAACAAATAATTAAGTTCGATCCAAAAATGTAGAGAAAATATCAAGATTTTAGAGTTGTCCCATGACCCCGTTTCTTCTCTTTTTACATTCTTGTGTCACGATTTTACCTTTACCTTAAAATTATTTTAAAAACACGTTGAGTATTAGGGTGAGACATGGCAACAGTTATATAATAAATCAATCAAAATCGTGGAACTTGGTGGTTGATTACTCAAAACACACGAGATGTAATCTACTCATCAAGAACCATTTTCAAGAATCACTCGTCAATAACTATTGATGGTTTGGTGCCCGACACACACATGAAACCCTTATCCAGAAAAATAATCATGTAATTGCGTGACCATCCTAAAATTTAAATTTGGAGAACTAGAAAAATAAAATAAGTAAATTAAGGAAAATCGAAAAAAAAAAAAAAGGAGAAAAAAATTGAGAAAAGGAACCTTTACAATGTTTGGGCTTAAGGTAGGCCCAAGGGAACAGGAAACTCCAAAAGATGGGCTGAAATGAGGAGCTACTGTGCAGAAACGTGGATATTCAAGACAAGGTTTGGTGCAGCCACCGACTATTGAGGAATTAAAAATTTATTGATCGGTAAAGGATAAAAGGAGAATTAAGAAAGTATTCATAAAGTGAGGAAAAAACAAATAATAAATTGTTTGAGTAAATTGAAGGAGACGAGATAGACGAAATTGAAAAGAGATGATATTAGGTATAGATAAACATTTTCCTTTCTCATATAATTTTTTTTTAATACATTAATAGTATGTTATATTTATGATTCCGTTCATAATAACGATGCAAAGTAATTAGGAACTTTTAAAAAATTTAACCGTATTAATACTTTATACTGTTTTTTTTTTTTTAAATATTTAAGAATATTACTGATTATTATTATTATTATTATTTTTTAAAGTTATAAAGCATTTTTATTAATTCGAAACTTAATACACAAAAGCGTGGGAGAGAAAAAAGAAAAAGAAAAAGAAAAATGTTGTTGATGCGTTCTGGCGTTCCATATTTATACGTAATTTTTGTTGGTTGAAATGAGTTGTTCTTCCCCAGCCACCCGCCGCCCAAGAGAGAGAAGCCTGGGAGGCACAGGAAGCCAGGAGGGAAGTTTTTTCCGCGGCCTTTAGAACAATACAGATACGCCTATTTCAACCAGTTTCTTCCTTTACAGTTTGAACACTCCTATCTTCTTATCCTTCCACCTGACCGGGCGCCAGCTTTCGTGCTTATCCCATTCCTAGGTTGATTCATCATTTCAAGATAACCCAAAATAGTATATATATATATATATATTATATACACACACACACAAAGAGTTTCAACAATTCCAGAAAGTTTTCCGGAGACAGAGAAAATGCACGAGCAAAAGAAGAATGCGGTAAGAGGCTGGGCTGGAGCTTTGTAAAGACCGTCACTGTGAACGAGGTCGATTTCTCGTTAATCTCTCCGTTCCGTCTTAACCTAATTATATTTCTCTAATATCAATATTCCCTGACCCTTTATATCCCTATTTGTATTCCTCTTCTTCCACATCCTCAGAACTGCTTACATACTCCAACTATTGGATTTTAAGAACCTGAGGAATATGAAGTACGTATTGGTTACGGGAGGTGTTGTTAGTGGACTGGGCAAAGGGGTCACTGCTAGCAGTATCGGAGTCCTCCTTAAAGCTTGCGGTCTTCGAGTTACTTCCATTAAGATTGGTATTTTAGATGTCAGAAATGTTGTTTGTCAGTTTCGGTTGCATATGCATTGTCTTTTCATGTATATGGCGGGTAATTTAGTGTTAGTAGTTAAATAATGTTACGTGTTTTGCTCATATCTGCAGATCCTTATCTAAATACAGATGCTGGTACCATGTCTCCTTTTGAGCACGGCGAAGTGTTCGTCTTGGATGACGGTGGTGAGGTAAATTGATGCATTTATCTGTTTTAGCATGCATGACCCTCCAATAATTTCATATCATGTTTTCCATGTATATAAAGCCGTTTGCCCTGTTTTTCAAAAATTTGATGTATTTCAATGAGTGAGTTGGGGGACACTTTGTTCTTATTTTACTTCCATTTTTTAAATATTACCAAGTAGAGTCCACTGTTAAAGTTTTGGCTTCTTGATTATCAGTTTGTAATCGTTTTGTACAGATATTAATCGTGGTTGGACTCTAACCTAGCCTTCTATGAAGCTTCTCTGTTTTATGTAACATGAATGACTACTTTCTTTAGGTTGACCTGGACCTTGGAAACTATGAACGATTTTTGGACATCACACTAACTCGTGATAACAACATCACAACCGGAAAAATATACCAGGTGCATTGCCTCTCTGTGTTCGCTTGTCTTCATGTTTGTGAAGTTGTGCATATATCGTTACTAGTTTTACTTTCTCCCTTGATATTTTGACAGTCTGTGATTGACAAGGAGAGAAGAGGTGATTACCTGGGAAAGACTGTTCAGGTCTGCTAGACTTTGTGTTGTCTCTGTTCTCAGTTCTATAGTGAAATGTTAATGGCACACTGATTCCATTTCTATTTTTATTAGGTTGTTCCACACATTACAGATGCCATCCAAGAATGGATTGAGCGTGTAGCAATGATACCAGTTGATAGTAAAGAAGGTCCAGCTGATGTGTGTGTAATTGAATTGGGTGGCACCATAGGTATAAGTTCAAAGCATGTTTCTTGAGAAACGTACTCCTTTTTTTTGTGTGTGTGTCTGTGTAGAAAACTAGAGCCTCTAGCCTCTGTTTTTGTTTTACTTCATGCAGGAGATATTGAATCGATGCCATTTATTGAAGCACTTGGCCAATTTTCGTACCGCGTAGGTCAGAGTTGTTTATGTATCAGCTTCTTTGATGAGCCGAGTTAATCTTATCTAAATTTTGTTTGAGAAACCTGCCTTGTGGTCAGTTTGTCTAACATGTCTTGTTTTAGGTCCTGGAAATTTCTGCTTGGTTCATGTTAGCCTTGTTCCGGTCCTCAATGTAGTTGGTGAACAGGTATGCATGGAAAATGTGCCTTCCGTATACATATGTTCTCTTACCCACTGTACTATCTGTCAAAGACAAGAGAGAAAAATGAGGCACAAACTTATGCGTTATCTTTTAACGATGGCTGATTTGCCTGAATGTTTTTTATTAATTTTGAGCCATAGAAAACTAAGCCTACTCAACACAGTGTTCGAGGTCTAAGAGGACTGGGATTGGTCCCAAATATTTTAGCTTGCCGCAGTTCAAAGGTTTTCCCTTTCCCTTTTACTTACTTTAGAGGCTTGGGACTACACATGATCTTACTTTTATTTGGCTTTAACAGGAACTCGATGAAAATGTTAAGGAAAAACTTGCTCAATTTTGTCATGTGCCGGTACTATATGATGATGTTCTTCTACATGCTCATTTGATACTTTGCATTTGTTACTAATGAATTGGGTTCTTGACAGGCAGAGAATATAATCACTCTCTATGATGTGCCAAATATTTGGCATATTCCTCTGCTATTAAGAGTAAGTGATTTCTTTAGTCTTATTTCTTTTTATGCGAGGAAAGACTAGAACATTTTTCTTCAACAGGACCAGAAGGCTCATAATGCACTCTTAAAAGGACTGAATCTTCACAGGTTGGTATTGCAAGTGTATTTTTTTTTTTTAATCGACATAAAATCTTTATCTCACGTCCCTGCATCTTATCTGTCTGAATCTCTTGGATGTATTTCCACTGAAGACATTGGTCAGCTAACATTTACAAATTTCCAGTGTAGCAGGAGAACCAGATTTAGATGAATGGACGTCTAGGACAAGGTTATATGATAAGTTACATGATTCCGTGGGTCTTGAGCACTTATCTAATTTGTTAAACTTTATCCTATGCTTCTACTTTGTTTTGAGAATAAAAATATTCATTCAATTTTTTTGTTTCAAACTGTGGAAATATATAGGTCAAAATTGCTATGGTTGGTAAATACACAGGCCTTTCAGATTCGTACCTCTCTGTGTTAAAGGTAGGTCCCAGAACATGAAATGTTTTGAACCTCCCGGGGGCTTGGGACCCTATTTTGGGGTTTCTCAACATTTGAAACAATTAATTCATTTTTTGATGCTTTTCTGTCTGCTAAATGTCTTATATAATTATTGTTAATAGTCCATAATACATTCTACTTTGATATTTTTCCTCCTTTGTAATTTTGCAATTGTATGGTATTGTAAATTGTAAGCCTAGGTTTGTGCGTATACACAATCTTACCTACGTAATGAGTTAGTACACTATGAACTACTAGTCCATAATTTTGTGCCGGGAAGCGAAGGACGGGGAACTACTAAGCACTTAACTCCTTTTTTGTTTTGTGTTGCATTGTTTTCTATTTTTGTTCTTTTATTATTATTTTTTTATTTATTTTTTTTTTTCGTGGCATTTGTAGTAGGAAAAAGATCTTCATTAAACTCAATTAGCGTACCAAAGATGGAGGAGATGAGACATATCTGCTTTTTTGTTATTGGTATTGAAAGGCTAGTTTATTACTTCTTTTCCTTTTCTGTCACTTATCGTCCAACTGACCAAAGAGTGGATAGCTAATGCATTTCACTTCATGTAAAAGGTTCTATGATTGGTCCATATCCTTTAGTACAAAAGGCTCATTTACGGTGATCTAGGGGGATTAAGGCCATTCTACAAATTTAGCTA